ACCCAGCCGTGTCATTTCACCTTGGAACGGTCACTCTCCCTGCCGTGAGAATTCCACCAGGCAGCTGCACAGATGTGATTGACGCCCCGCAGTGTACGAGACCCCAGTTTCTCTCATTTGTCTGACGTAGAGGCTCCCTCTGTGGAGCCCTGGTGGCCTAGTGGATCACACGGTGGGCCGCTAACTGCAAGGTCAGCAGTTCCAAACCACCAGGTGCTCTGAGGGCGCAAGACAAGGCTGCCTGCCCCTGCGAGGAGTGACTGCCTCCGAAACCCACAGGGGCAGTTCTACTCTGTCCCTTGGGGTCCCTGTGAGTCAGATAGACTGGATGGCAGTGAGCTTGGTTTTGCTTTAGAGGTTTCTCCTAACTCCTGGAGTGAATGCTAGAATTAGCCGAGTCTTTGTTGTGCTTGGTTTTACGTCCAGGATTAGAATGCTCACTAATTTTAGATGTCTGGGGCATACGTGATGGTGCTTGGTTTTCCCCAAATCACAGGAAACATGCTTACGTTTTTCCTGGGCATCCATTTGCTCAAGTCCAAGTTCGATTATAAAGAAGGAGTGCTAGAGGGTGGGGTGGAAAGGGGGAGCCAATTACAAGGATCTACATATAACCTCCTCCCTAGGGGATGGACAACAAAAAAGTGGGTGAATGGAGATGTTGGACAGTATATGACAAAATACAAAATAATAAATTATCAAGGGTTCATGAGGGAGCGAGGAACAGGGAGGGAGGGGGAAAATGAGGAGCTGATGCCAGGGGCTTAAGTGGAGAGCAAATGTTTTGAGAATGATGAGGGCAGCGAATGTACAAATGTGCTTTATGCAACTGGTATATGTATGGATTGTGATAAGAGTTGTATGAGCCCCAAATAAAATGATTTTTTAAAAAAAGGAATGCTATTTCTTAAGGATCCCTGGTAGCATGGTTGGGTAAACCTTGGATGGCTAACCGCCAGGCCTGCAGTTCAAACCTACGAAAGAGATCAAACCTACGAAAGAGATGTCTGTTCTGTAAAGCAGCGGTTCTCAACGTGTGGGTCGAGACCCCTTTGGGGGTCGAATGACCCTTTCACAGGGGTCGCCCGATTCATAACAGCAGAATGACAGTGATGAAGTAGCAACGGAAATAATGTTATGGTTGGGGGTCACCACCACGTGAGGCACTGTATGAAAGGGTCGCGGCCTTAGGAAGGTTGAGAACCACCGCTGTAAAGGCTTGCAGCCTCAGAAACCCTGGGGTGCAGGGTCACAGTGAGTCAGCATTGACTCCATGCCGGTGGGCTTTTCTGTTTCTCATCTACTCTCTAGTCTGCCCTTCAGAACACTGATATTGGACTTGGTTGGTTGCGCAAGAAGGAAATCGTGACTTATAATTTTCTGTAGCTTAAACTCAGGCGCCCTGGTGGTGCAGCAGTTTACGCATCGCGCTGCGAACTGTCTGGTCAGCAGTTTGAAACTGCCAGCTGCTCTGCAGGAGAAAGATGAGGCTGTCAGCTCCGATAAAGCTTGGGAGCCCCGGGCAGTTCTGCTCTGCCCTGTAGGGGTCGCTGTGAGTTGGAATGGACTTGACAGCAGTGAGTTTTTGAGATAACTTGAACAGTGAGGTTTCTCGGAAATAGGAAAAGTCACGCATGGTTTGTTATTGTACTTCGTGCCGTTATACCAAAACAAAGCAAAACAAACTCACCACGATCAAGCCAGTTCTGACTCACGGTGCCCTGTAGGGCAGGGTAGAACTGTCCCCCTGGGTTTCTGAGACTAACTCTTTTGGTTGGTAGAAAGCCTCATCTTTCTCGCTTGGAGCAGGCTGGTGGTTTCAAACTGCTGACCTTGTGATTATCATCAGCCCAACATGTAACCACTCCACTACCAGGGCTCCTCTCGGCCCTTGTCGAGTATAAGTTTTATCTTCTCGGAGAGTCAAAAGCAGTCTTCTGAGAAAGGTAATGCTTGCTCAACATGAAGTACTGGGGAAATGAATGCCCAGCAGTAGAAGGAGAATAATCACAGCTGGTTCAGCAAAGAGCCCCTGTTGATATTTCTGATCCAGCTTAGGGCTGATTTTCATAGTTGAGAGTATTCTTTAAAATAGTTGGTAGTCATTAATAGCTAACCTTTTATTTATTTTTGAGACTATATCATTTTTAACTTAAGCTGAAGTGATGTTCCCCCCCCCCTTGACAGATCATGACAGCAAGATTTTTTTTTAATTATCATTTACAAAATGTGATAGGTTAAAGACAGATGCCATTCCCAATTAGAATAACGAAGGCAAAAGATTTGTCCTGCTGACTGGGTGACCCTGAGCCCCCTCCCCAGACTCTGCAGGAACCCTGGACACAGCCACTTTGACTCTGCTGAATCACAGGCGCTGGCCTTCATCAGCACACACAGTGGCTGAAAATCTTGTTCATCAAGGTGCCCTGTTGGCACTGTGCTTTCAGCAGTCAGCTGCTGTTCAAACCCACCGGCCACTCCGAGGGAGAAGTTGAGGCTGTCTGGTCCCATAAAGCCTCCCAGCCACGGAAACCCACAAGGGCCCCATCCTGCGTGGACACGCGTCAGAATCCACTCCAGGGCAGTGGGCTTGTCTGGTTGGTTTTGCATTTCATCAGGGGAAGGCAGCAGCAACTTGAAAAGTCAGGGGCTTTCTGGTGCCAGGGAGGCCGGGAAATCCCAGACTTTGGCCCCAAGATCTTCTTTAACCCTTCAACCAAGGCTGTGACCTGGAGCCTTTAACCCACACTGCACTTGAGCTTCACGGGACATCGGCCTTGGCTATGGCGCTTTTTTAAAAACTGTGCAAGTGGGTGCTATGAATCGGAATCAGTTCGTTGGCAGTGAGGTTTTGGGGGGACCGTGTGGAATCGACACCCGCAGTGCAGAAGGTTAGAAAGGCAATCTGGGGAGCAGGGACTTCATACCAGTGGGAGAGGGGCAGGATGCAGTGTAGCACGGTGCGGGTCATCGCACAATTTGAGGAATCCTTCCAGTGTCCCTGCACTGCCCGCAGAGAGTCTGTCAGACTGGTGTATGTCTGGGGGCATGTATTTTCAACAGCGGAGATAAAATAAATTACTAAAGAGAAAAGAAAAAAAGAACTGCATGCCAAGCATAGTTCAAAGCACTTTGTAAAGTTTAATCAACAAACCGTACAAAAGCTCTTGGGGAACACGTCGGGAACAAAGCCCCATGTGAGAGAGGAGATTTTTTCCCCCAACCGTTTTATGGGCACATAATTCACGTATCATACAATGGAACAGTTCAGTGGTCCCATGACATCAGGGGATGTTGTACAATCACCACCACATCTATCTTCAGTCTCCACCCCATGGCTAAGTCGCCTTTAGAATGAGTTATGTGATCGCTATCAGTTCCAGTGCTCCCTCCCCCGCCTGCCTGCATTATTTACTCCAGAAATCCCCTTTTCCTCCTTATCGCCCACCCCCACCCCCCACATTCCGTACAGCACCTTGTATCACTTATTAATTATCCTGACACATCCATTCTTCCTGTGCTTCACAGCTGGGAAACCCAGCAGAAAACAGTGGAAGACAAATCGCACTAAGGTGTGCAGGATAAGCTCATGTTAGTATAAGGCAAAACTACAAGTGATGTGTAAGGCGGAGAAGACCCCCTTCCCCCCTGCCCCCATCAACAGTCAAAAATCCAGGGAAGAAGTTTCTGTCCTAGGACAACTGAGAGACACTTGCACCAGTGCTGATTCAGGTCCTGTCTATAGGGAATCCAACTGGCTGGTACTGATGTGATGTCGAATCATCAAGTGACAGTGGTCTCTGCCGGACAGTAAGGCTCTTCGGGACCCTTGCCTGCGGCTCCAGCAGATCTGCCAGCGGCTTGGGCTGCCTGGACACTCTACAGACGGGTTTGGGGCTCCCACTGTCCTTCAAAGCCTTCCCCAAATTGGGTGTTCATAATTTTAGCTCCGATGCTTTTCTCTTCACCACATTCGAATTTTGTGATTGTCACCTTTGGATCACACAAGCTGGTGTGCTTCTTTTGTGTGGACTTAGTTGACTCCTCGCTTACTTGGCTGCCTATTTGAATCCCGGCCTTTAAGACCCCATTCCAATTGATAGCCAGGCACCATCAGCTCTCCTCAGCATACTGTGCTGTGGCACCCTGATCTTCAGTGATCGTTTCATGAAGGTGAGCATCCAGCAGGGCCATGATGTAAGAACTGAATGTTATTCAGCTGGAACTAGGGTTTAGTGCGAGCCCGGAACTAACTCCCGGATCTCTGTGTTTGGGTTTGTTTGTTTGTTTTAATTTTCTGTAACCTAGAAATTAATATATATGTCATATCATTCCATGGTTCAATCATGTCAAGCATAATTCTTCCAGACTCAGTCTCCAGACATACTTTTCCTTCCTGGGATTCCTGACATTATCTCCTTCTTATCTGCCCCGCCCACCCCTCTGTATCCCCGAGCGAGCGGAGGAGGTTTTCAAAGTTGCTTTCCTGTGGCAGGCTCAGTAGGGCTCTGGGAGAATCTGGACTGAGCTGTGGGGGTCTTCGCAGAAGCTTGGTTTCGGCCAGGAACCCCGGTGGCCCAACAAGCGAGCGCTCGGCTGCTCGCTGATAGACTGACAGTCCGAATCTACCCAGTGACCGCACAGGAGAAGCCCTGCTCCTGAGTTGACCGCCAAGAAGACCGTTGGGGCTGTGTTCACTGGAATCAGCGGTTCCCCCATCAGCACCACTGCACCGCAGCAGGTTCCCCCATCAGCACCACTGCACCGCAGCAGGCGTGCTCCCCAGCAAGCTGTGTAGCAAGGGTTAAGGCTAGGATAGGATATGGAGTGATTGTTAAAACCATTCCGTGTCATTTGCCTTTTCCAAGCCACTGATGTGTGCACCCCCACTACCACCACCACCACCACCACCACCACCCATCCCCACTCTCTCCCTCTGCAGCACGTCCTGCCGGCTGGCCGGACTCCAAACTGACCCCTGGTTGTGCTCTTCTTCGCAGCTTAAGCGAGAGCTTTTTCATGGTGAAAGGAGCGGCCCTCTTCTTACAGCAGGGGAACAGCCCTCAAGGCCCGCAGAGCCTTCAGCACCTCCACAAGCATGCAGGTGAGGCTCGCGGGTGACCCTGTGAATCCACCCTCACTGTCAGTGCAGAGCCCTGGGGTGCAGTCAGTTCAGCTCTGAGCTGCTCATCGCCAGTGGGAGAAAGAGGAGGCTGTCTTCGAATCCCAGGACGAGTTGCAGCTTCAGAAGCCCACAGGGGTGGCTCTAGCATGTCCTCGAGGGTCCTTCTGAGTCGGAGTCCACTTGATGGCAGAGAGTCTGGGGAGTTTACCATCAGTGCAGCCAGGACCCCTGGTGGCCTAGTGGGTTCCACATTGGGCTGCTAACCGCAAGGTCAGCAGTTCGAAACCACCAGCCGCTCCTTGGGAGAAAGCGGAGGCTTTCTACTCCCATAAAGAGTTATAGTCGCAGAAACCCACAGGGGCCGTTCTGCCCTGCCCTCTAGGGTCACGGCTCAAGGGCAGCGGGTTTTGGAGTTTGCAGTCAGGAAGCAGGGGGGAGTCTGCAGGCCAGAGAAACCGTGGCAGCCGAGTCTGTGGTGACTGGCTGAGGGGGAGGGGGGGGGAAAGGTGTGCCCTCTAGGTGGTGCTGGGAGCTAGCGAGCCTTTTGGCAGTCACCTGTCTGGCTGTAAAAACGTCCTGTACTTGCTGTACCAGTGGCCTGCAGATTTCAAGTGACAGGCTGACCCTTTGAACCTAACCCAGTCCAGGGATAGTCTCAGTTCTCCCGGTGCTTGGAAACCTCCCACTTGGAGGTTTTCTTGAAGGGCCTTTGGAGCGGCACACCAGCCGAGAGCGTGGGGATCTTTCTTTTTTCCTGGTGGATTTGGTTTGGGGACAAAGTAATAAAAAGTCTCAAACAGACTATCCGTTCGGGTCAAAAAGCAACCAAATCTGAAAGGCCGGTAAGATCACAGGGCGGGTCTTCCAGGCAGCTTGCAGAGAGGAAGCTGAAAAGCAAGAGCCCACCAGTGACTCCTGGGGAAAGATGGTCCCCAGTGGGGGGCCGTTTGAGCCCCTGTAGGCCTGCAGGGCAGCCACAGGCAGAACCAGCCAGCTGTGGGGTCCGTCCCCTTGCCACCTGAGACCTTGTGGAAGTCGTGGCATTTCTTGGAGACCCCCAGAGGCCTCCCTGACAACCTGGGACGTTGTCCATGTCTCTGGCCTTTCTCCGAGGCCCTCACCGTCACAGCCTCCCCTGGGTTCCTGCCTTGAAAGCCGGTGGGTGAGCACCTTTTACAGCCCGGTGTGTTGGTCCAACAGGTGACCTGCCCCAGCACCTTCAAGTCATGATCAACCTCCTGCGCTGTGAAGACAGGATCAAACTGGTGAGCTCCCCCGGGAATCGCGCATGAACAGCGGGGGAGGGAGAGGGCAGTTCCCCCCAATTGCCCCCCTAAACCAGAGCCAGATTTGCTCCTCAGTGCCCCAGAGGACTGGCCCAGAGCGTGCTAAGCCTCCCTCAGCCCAGGTCCTGGCGTCCACACCTTGAACACAACAGAACGAAACTTGCCACCCTCACAGTGGTTGGTAACGGGGCGACGTTCTGTTACCATTTTGTAGGGATCTGTAGCGTTTTCTTTGGCTCGTTTGGGGTGTCGAAGTCTGGAAGTTCTGTTGAAACCTGCCCACATGGGTGGCCCTGCTGGTGTTTGAAAAACCAGGGGCCCAGCTTCCAGGCAGGTGTGGGAAGAAATGTGGGCGATCTCTCCATTAGCCGGAGCTAGATTAACTCACTTAACCCCACTGCCGTGCAGTCCATGCTGATTCATGGCAACCCTAGAGGGCAGGGTGGAACGGCCCTGTGGGTTTCCGAGGCTGTAAGTCTTTACGGGAGCAGAAAGCCTCATCCCTCTCCCAAGGAGTGGCTGGCAGATTTGAACTGCTGGCCTGACGGTTAACGGACCGCTGCCACCAGGGCTCCATTGGGCTCCATTAGACTGTCCATTGAGTGCCTCATATTTGGTCACTAGCCCAGCTCCGTCCCTGGTCCCGGGGTTGAAATGAGACATGGCTCTTGCCGGCAGGAATGCCCCCTAGCACCTGAGCCCACGGGGGAAAGGTCACCCGCAGAAGCTGGTGTGACCGTGGTGTCCTTCCTGCCCAGGCCGTGCGTTTAGAGAGCGCCTGGATGGACCGCATCCGGTACATGGTGGTGGTGTACAGCAGCGGGCGCCAGGACACTGAGGAGAATATCCTGCTGGGAGTGGACTTTTCCAGTAAGGAAAGGTGAGTCGGACGGGGGTGCGGGTCCCTTCATTCCACCAAAGACAGCACGAGCAGGCGGCTGGGAAGCAGGGTTAGGGAACGTGCGTGTGAGGCCCTCAAATCCCCAACACCAGCTCACATCCCAGGCCTCCCCCAAGAGCAGCAGTTCCAGCCATTACATTCGGGGTGAGTTTAGGAAGTGTTCACCAGCATGGCCCAAGAACCATGCTGCAAGTATCCATCCAAATGGCCCCGGGCGGCAAAAATGTCCCCACCCCTGCTTTAAAGAACGGACATCTGTTTTCTCACAATTCAGAAGCCATCCCCCCTCACAGCCATCAAGCCGAAGCCGACTCATCGTGACCCTACAGGTCGGGGTAGAACTGCCCCCGTGGGTTTCCGAGGTTGCTATTCCTTACCAGCGCAGAAAGCCTCTTTCTTCCATGGTTTCGGACTGATCTTGTGGTAGCCCACTCATCACCCACTATGCTACCCAGCGCTCAAGTTCAAATTCAGTTTGTTTAGCTTGAGATTTGCCAAGTGTTTTCTCCCTTTTGGCCAGGCCTCGCACGTTTCATTACAGTACTCTGCTTGGTCGTCTTGACCCAGGAGCCTTGGTGGCAGAGCAGGTCACATGTTGGGCTGCCAACCTCTAAGTCAGCAGTTCAAAGCCACCGGCCACACTGATCGAGAAAGATGAGGCCGTCTGTTTCCATAAAGATTGGTCATCTCAGAAGCCCACAGGGAGGGACAGCTCTGCTGTCACGTGGGGTCGCTGCGCATTGGAATTGACTCCGTGGAAGTGGTTTGCTTCATTTTGTTCTTTGTCTCCTCGCACTGCCCTCTGATGCTTGTTTAGCCCTTAGACGTCACTGCTTGCCTTTGCCTTAGCAACGCCACAATTAGGAGACACGTTCAGAGTCTTCCGACACGCACTTTGGTCTTTTCTTCCTAATGACCTTTTGCTTCACGTACGGTGTCCTCGAAGTCACCCCACACCTGGTCAGGTCTTCACTCATTGGCGGTCAGTGCGTCAGATCTGTTCTGGTGATGTTCTCTAAACTCAGGTGCGATTGTCCCAAGGTTTCATTTGGACTCTGGTGGACTTATTTTCATTTTCGTCATCTTCAACCTGCGCTTGCAGATGAGCATTGTGGTCCGTGCCCCTGTGGGCCCCTGGCCCTGTCTCCTCCGCTGATACGTGGGTTTGCCATCGTCTCTTTTTACGCAGATAGAGTCTGTTTGATTCCTGTGTGTTCCATGCGGCAAAGCCCCTGGGTACCGTCGGGTCTGTGTTGTCGGGAAAAGGATATTTGCCGTGGAATCGTGGGGCTTGCAAAAATCATGTGATCCCCAGCTTTGTTTCTGATCACCAAGTCCCCCTATTTTCCAACTGCCGGTGCTTCTTTGTTCCCAGCTTTGTGTTCCAAAGGCCAGCTTCTCGCTGATGCGCCTTGATTACGTGCTTGGTCAATTTCAGAGGCATGTCTTTGGTTTCTGCGTCGCTCACTGTGGTGGTTGGCATGTACATTTGACTAGCAGCTGGATTAACCGGACTTCACTGTAGGTGTAGAGATTGTCCTGCACTTTCAGGTGGATCTTGAAAGGTGACTTTAGACGGTGGAAGCTTTATACTGCAGACTCTGTTTTGTGTGTAAAATGAGGCTGCATGGCTCAACTCCTCTTGGGTAAATCGGCCTGTATGCCACCATTGCCAAATCTGGATGTGTTGAAAGGCCATTAAAGTGAGCACCTTTTGCCCCACATTCATTTGCCTGCACATTCATGCAGCATACAGTGCATTTGTATTCCCCTGTGGATGAGGCATTGGACTTGACGTCAGGTACCCGCAGTACACACTGTCTTGACTTCAGAGAGCCTAGAAGCTGATTAAGGAAGACAGCTATGACCACTGGATTCTTGGGCGTCTAGGGTGAGGGTGCTGAGTGAAGGAGAAACCTGAGGGGCTTTGTGGGAACAGGAGAGGGTAGGTGACCCGCATGCATGCCCAAGGCTTCCTGAAGGACCTAATGATCCTCAAGCCATGTCTTTAAAAAGCCAGGGGCCATCAGGCAAGTTCAGAGGTGGAAGCAGAACAGGGACGTAGGTTGAAGAGTCTTTCAGGCAGGTGGATAGAAGTAAACAAAGCCATGGCTACGGATGACATTGGTGGCCTTGGGGTGTTGCCCCGGCCCGTCATTGAGCTGAACAGCTGCTGGTAACAGCGTGCCTGTTAGAAGACAGTTAATAAAAAGAGGAGAAACTCAGCGGCAAGAGCCGACATTCCCTTCACGACCTTTCCCAGCACGACGTGTCTGTCTCTCTCACCGCAGTAAGAGCTGCACCATCGGCATGGTGCTCCGGCTGTGGAGCGACACCAAGATCCACCTGGACGGAGATGGGTAAGCAGAGTCTAGAAGGTTCTTTCAGACTTGGGCTGGCCCAGGCCACACCCCCACCCCTTCCACCCCCGGGCATCAGACAACCCACAGAACCCAGCCCGTCGCCGTTGAGGCAGTCACGACTCACTCACGTTGGCCCTATGCCCACAGAGCAGAGCTGCCTCCAAGGGCCTTCCCGGCCGCGTCTTTGTGGACGCAGATCACCAGGTGTTTCTTCGGCAGAGCAGCTGGTGCTGCTCTGAAATAAGATGGGAGGGTAAACCATGGACATTATATCGGGGAGGCGTGAAGGCAGCCTGTTCCAGGCCCGCTGCTGTACCAGCAGAGCTCCGGAGAAGCAGTCGGGTGCATGGCGCTCACTCACTGACCTGGACTGGAGGTTCCTAGTGAACAGACAGCACATGCACTCACAGCCCTTGTGGACCTCCGGGGGCAGATACACATGGACAGGTACAGCGAGACTAAAGGTGCCAACCGAAGCTACCCAAAAAAACTCATTGCCGTGGAGTTGACACCAACGCATAGCTCCCCCACGGGACGCAGTGGAACTAACCCTGTGGGTTTCCAAGACAGTAAAGCTGGAGTGGGGGGGGCGGGGAGGAGCGGGAAGGGTGGGACAGCGGCGAGGAAGGAAGAAGGGACGCTGTCTCCTGCCCTCCATCCCGTCACCCTCTGCTGGGCCTTCACCCTTTGGTGGCAGCCCCATGGGCAGGTGTAAAGCAGGTCTCGGTGACTTCGTGGAGACACGTGTTCCCTGGGTGCCCGGAGGAACATCCGTTGTCTCACCGCTGCCTTTGCTTCTTGTGTCTCCGCCCCCAGCGGCTTCAGCGTGAGCACAGCGGGGAGGCTGCACGTGTTTAAGCCCGTGTCTGTCCAGGCCATGTGGTAAGTGGGGCTCCGGGACACGGCCATCCCCTCCTTAGACACGCCCCCCACTTGGAAACCCACCCAGGTGCAGACTCTACACACACACACCTGACTGTGTGTGCTACCGAGGGGCTGTGACTCTGGAAACCAGGCCACTGGTAATTCAAATACCGGCAGGGTCACCCAGGGTGGACAGGCTTCCTTGGAGTGCCCAGGAGCAGGCAGGCTAGGAAGAAAGGCCTGGAGATCCAGTTCTGAAATTTGGCCAACTCAGTATTTCCCAGCGTTTTCTGTTCCACCTCTCTTCTTGATTCTCTGCATCCTAACATCCATTGGGATGGCTACACAGAACGCGCAGGCAGCCTTCGTGCTGCGAGGGTTTATTAAGGAAGGAATGCCAATGAGAAACGCTCAGGGTTGACTGATCATCAGAACTCCAGTTACAAAGTTCCGTCAAGTCTGCTAGCAGATGCCCAAAGGGCAAACCACTCTGCTCTCAGCCTCAGCCTGGAGACACTCCACTCCACTTCTGTGGGTCAGCAAGTCCAGCTTCCTGGATGCCCAGAGGCAGCCCACTCCTCCAGCCAACCTCCTGCACAAAAGCACTCGGCTCCACTTGCTCCCTGGGTTTGGGAAGTCGGCCACTGTGTTCCATGCTCTGGCTCCTGGTTCTGCTGCTGCTCCTCCGATGCTACAGCTGTCATCTGGGTCCAGGAGGTTCACTGCACAGGGATCCCGGGTCCAAACGACATGCTTCATTCCTGGCTCTTGCTGGTCATACGATCCCACCTCCTGCTTCTCAGAGGGTTCAGTTTACCCCCAGCAGGGATTCCTGTTCACAGTGACTCACAGACGGACCCTATCAGTGTCTTCCCCACCTGCTTACCAGAGCAGGGAAAGGGGGTGCGGTGGGAGCTAGAGACTTTGATCAGAAGAGCCACCTTGTTGATTGAATAATTCGAGGATGCAGCAGGCGCCGGTAGATTTAGTGGCATGACACTGGCAGTGGGCCCTGGCAGCCTTTGTTCCATGATCCGAGGGGCCCATCGTGAGTTGGAGCAACTTCAACAGTGTTCAACACCAGCGGCACCACTCCTGCGGACGAGCCGTCATCCAGGTAAAAGCCACTGGCAGCACAGCGGCCTGTCTTCTCGGCGGTGGAGGAAACGGCGCAGAGCATTTAGGGAGGCAGAAGGCGGGCACAGTCCCTTCCCTTATGGGGTGAACAGTCTGTTGAGGAAGGTGGCTGTGAACACAAGCCCTGCTGTGTTAGTCCAGGTTGTCACTAACCGAGAAACGAATCCAGAGACACTCATCTGTGGAAGAGAGAACTTCATATCAAGAAGTAATTATATGTCAGGAAAACATCCCAGCCCAATCCAGATAAAAGTCCATAAGTTCAATATTAGCCCATAAATTCCTCTTCAGACTCACGCAGCACATGCAGTGATACCAAATGCAGGAAGAACACAGGCCGGTGGGTGGAAAGTTCTATGGGTCCAATGGGAGTGGACACATTTCCAGGGCTCTGGCCACCATCAGCGTGGCTCCATGTGGCTTGTCCACAGGAATGGTGAAACAAGACAAGAGTGTGTCCCGCCTCTAGGGAGGAAGCAAAGAAATCCCAGGATCCTCATGAGAAGGCCACACCCACAAGGAGGGAATCACCAGGCTGTGACCTGATTGACAGGCTAGACTTTACCCCTTCGTTCTTATTTATCAAGTGAACATGAATTGGTGTGACTGCCACACCAGCACACAGGGGGCCAGGCTCCAGAGTGTTGTCATTGGGGACCCCTGCAAGGTGAGGCCCCCACGGAGACAGGACTCCTGGCTCAGGTAGCTGTGGCGGGGGGGGGGGGGGGGACCCAGCATTTCCCTGTCTCCCCTCCTCCTGATAACGTAGCTGTGACACACCAGCTCCTGCAGCGACACGCCAACCCCGTGGCCTGCCTGATGGCACCATGCCTGATGAGAAGAGTTCCCTAAGCTTGCCAAGGCCGCCCTCACCACCCTGGAGTCACATCTCACCACCCCCGGCCACGGAGGAAACATTCAACCCGGGCTTCTGTCGTACCTGGAGGCAGCGCGAGAGCATCCAGTCGACCCTTCCTACTTGCCGCCTCTGCTGGTCTCCCCGCCCCCCTGCGCGTCCACAAACGTGTCCCGCGGTGGATGTCTGTCTCAGCGAGTTCCTGGAAACCCGTTTCCACAGAGAACTAAGCACCAGCACGCTCATCAGAGTCCCTGGGAGGGCAGACAGTTAAGCACCCGGCTGTAAGCCAGAAGAAGGCCGGCGTTCGAACCCACCTTTGAGATGGCGCGGAAGAGTCCTCAGAGAACTAAGCACCAGCACGCTCATCAGAGTCCCTGGGAGGGCAGACAGTTAAGCACCCGGCTGTAAGCCAGAAGAAGGCCGGCGTTCGAACCCACCTTTGAGATGGCGCGGAAGAGTCCTGGGACCCTGACAACCCCGCGGAACCATCGGACACACGCGGTTGCCGTGAGGAGGGTCCAGCGGTTGGGGGGTGGATGTGGAGAGAGAATGTTTTGGACGGCGGTAAAGTGACTGCTGCATACCGAAGACGCTTCCTTTCGGAGGTTTGGCTTCATCTCGAGCCCTCTGCTGAAGGGGACCATGGACAGCTGCAACGTAAACCACAGGCTTCCAAGGCTGTGAATCTCTCCGGGACCAGACAGTCTCATCGTTGCTCTTCGGAGCAACTGGTGGGTTCGAACCGCCGACCTTGCGCTGAGCAGCCCACCGCTTACCCGCCAGAGCCACCAGGCTTCTTCACCTTTAGGAAACATTTGCCATACCCACTGCCGTCCCGTTGATTCCAGCTCACTTCGGCCCAGCTTCAAGAGAGTGGCTAGATCTTAATTCGTTGACATGAAATGACCTGGGGGAGTTAGGAAGTTCTCTGAGACACCCACCCCACCCCGTCCATTGTGGAAGGTCCTGCCCACTCCGACTCACTGGCTGGGTCAGCTGGCAAGGGTCAGCTTAAGTGGGCAGGAACGGGGGGTCAGCACCCTATGCATGCCCTGCCCCGTGCCCCTCGGGCCTGAGCCTCTGGCCTCCTCCCCCCAGGTCCGCCCTGCAGGTCCTGCACAAGGCCTGCGAAGTGGCCCGGAGGCACAACTACTTCCCCGGCGGCGTGGCCCTCATCTGGGCCACCTACTACGAGAGCTGCATCGGCTCCGAGCAGAGCTGCATTAACGAGTGGAACGCCATGCAGGACCTGGAGTCCACGCGGCCCGACTCCCCAGCCCTGTTCGTGGATAAGTAAGTGCGCCGAGCCCTCCCCGACAGGCACTGCTGTGCCTGAGCCTTGAGCCTGCCAGTCCACCTCCAAGCCTCAGAGGCGCCGCTGAGAACCAGCCGAGGTTTCTAACCCCAGGCCCAGGGGCTGTCTTTTGTTGGCACGGAGGGTCTGTGACACCCCTCCTCCCCCAGTTAGAATCCTAGGCAAATCCGTGGGAAGCAGCTCAAGAGGTCGCATCTGATTCTCCGAGCGCTGTGGGGCCTACACAGCCCAGTGCCGGCGTGGTTACCCACAGGCTGCTAAAAGTGAGGTCAGCAGTTCGAAACCACCACGTGCTCACCGGAGAAAGAGGAAGCTCTCTACTCCCTTAAAGCTGCGATGGTCTCAGAGTCCACGGGAACCGCTCTACTCCGCCCTTACAGGGTCCTCAACTCATGGCAGTGAGTTTGGTTTGGGCGTTTTGCTGAACAGGTGGGCTGTTCAGACACCGCCCCGTGGTGTCTCGGAAGAACGCCCTGACGGTCTGCTTTGAAAGGGCAGGAAAACGCTGCCATCGAGTCAGCGCTGGCTCCTCGGGACCCGATAGGGCAGGGGAGCAGAATCGCCCCTGGGGATTTTCAAGACTGTAGCTCTTTACAGGAGCAGAAAGCCCCGTCTTCCTCCCACGGAGCCGCCGGTGGTTTCCAACTGCCGACCTTGGAATTAGCCGCCCAATGCATAGCAACTACACCACCAAGCCCCTGAAATGATGATGATGATGATGATGATGATCTCTCCAAAACTGAGAGCATGGGGCTCCTCCAGATTTGGAACCGGAATGCATTCAGGGTGCAGGGGGTGGGGCAGCCTCAATGAGGAGACCCTTCCCCGAACCCACTGGGTGCAAGAGCCTAAGAGAAATGAGGTGGCCCAGGGAGAAATAAGCGGCCTCTGAATCTCAGAAGGGGTGTCGTGTAGAAAGAGCGCTGGTTACCCTGCTCTCAGAGCGCCAGACCCGGGTCTGCCCTGCTCTGCGCCCACTGCGCTGACCTCTGAGGGCGTTCCGTCCCTGCCCTGGCAGCCTGAACTCACACAGAGGAATCCGCTCCACCTGCCCAGACCACACGCTGGGCAGACTCGAGCCCCTGGGCTCCGCCAGCTCTGCCCAAACGCTCTCCGGCTACTGGGCTTCCCTCATGGGCATCTCTTTGCAGGCCAACAGAAGGGGCAAGGACAGAGCGCCTCATCAAAGCCAAACTCCGAAGCATCATGATGAGCCAGGACCTAGAGAACGTGACCTCCAAAGAAGTAAGGAGCTTACCTGCCCGGCAGGCCGGGACCAGCCAGTCTCCACCTGTCCTGTTCCCAAGAGCCTGGTGGGAACATGCCCAGCCTCCACCACTCCCCTGTGTGCCCCTCAGCTCGCCCAGGGCCACTGCTTTCCCCTAGGGCAGCAGGCTCTGCAGAGAGCACAGAGGCCCCAGGGTCAGGCTCTGCCGCCCATGCCGCGAGTGTCCTGGCATCCCCAAGCCTCGCTCATCGACGTTAGCCAGCGTGCACTCATTGGGCTGCTAACAGCAAGGTCAGCACTTCAAAACCACCAGCTGCTCCACAGGCGAAAGATGAGGTTTTCTGTTCCCATAAAGACGTACAGCTTCAGAAGCCCACAGAGGCAGCTCCACCCTGTCCTGTAAGGTTGCTCTGCGTCGGAATTGACTCCGCAGGGAGAAAGTAAGAACCCTGGTGGTATAGTAGATTACTTGTTGAACTGCAAACGACGAGGTCAGCAGTTCAAAACCACCGGCCGCTGAGAGAGGGAAAAAGGCAAGGCTTTTTTACTCCTGTAAAGAGTTCCAACCTCGGAAACCCACAGGGAGAGTTCTACCCTGCCCTCTGGGCTCGCTGTGAGTTGGAATCGACTGGATGGCAGTGAGGGTTTTGTTTTGTTTTTGATTTTTAAAAAGATGATTTTATTAGGGGCTTTTATAGCAGTCCATAATTGTATCCAGCATATTTGTACATAGGTTGCCAGCATCATTTTCTAAACATTTACTTTCTATTTGGGCCCTTTGGGTTTGTTCTTTTGAGGGAAGGAAACTCTTCCGGGAATCAAAGTGTACTAGGAATTAGAGAATTTGTCTGATTTGGAATCCACTTCCCACGGGCGGGTTTTATTTTCAGCTGAGCAGCCTGGGTGCTCCCCTCCTGGACTCCCACACACATACACACCCCCCACCCCGGTGTGTCGGAATGAGAAAGGGGCTTACTCCGGACCAGTAGACAGGTTTTGTGAACAGACTGCTCCTGCGGGGACGTCCACTCCTTGTGGATGGACAGCGGCTCCCTGTAACCGATCGCTTTTCCCCACCGCTCCCACCCCGGCAGATCCGCAGCGAGTTAGAGCAGCAGATGAACTGCAACCTGAAGGAGTTCAAGGAATTCATCGACAACGAGATGCTGCTGATCCTGGGCCAGATGGACAAGCCCTCCCTGATCTTCGATCACCTCTATCTCGTAAGAGGCGCCCCGCGGCAGTGTCTGGTTTGGAGCTGGCCGTGAGTGAGAGGGAAAGCAAGCAGGCTTGAGACTCCAGCTGGGGGGGGGAGGGCGCCGACCCTCTCCTCCAGCCAGATGTGGGAGAGATGGCGCCCAGCTGAGCTGCGGGGACAGCTGTCGGAAAGCTGTTTGTCACCGCCAGCTGGTCACAGGCCTCAGGCTCTTTCAGCCCCCAGGGGCCCAGCCCATGGCCTCCAAACCATGAAAATCTGCCGTCTGGCTGATTCCGACTTATCCCAGCCCTGCAGGACAGAGACCCGCCTCTGTGGGTTTCCGAGAAGGCTGTTAATCCTAATGAAAGCAGAAAGCTCCTCTTTCTCCCTTAGAGGAGCTGGTGGTTTCAAACTGCTGACCTTGTGGTTAGCAGCCCAATGAATAACCCACTGTTCCATCAGGGCCCCTTGCCAAACAGCAGAGGAAGGATAAAACATGCCTGGTTGCCAGAGTTATCAAACTCACTGCCACCGAGTTGATTCCAGCTCATAGAGACCCTGTAGGAGAGGGTAGAACTGCCCCTCTGGGTTTCTAAGTCTGTAAAGTCTATTGATGGGTGCAGACAACCTCATCATTTCTCCCATGGAGCGCCTGGTGGTTTCAAACTGCTGACCTAGTAGTTAGCAGCCCACTGTGTCACCCCGGAGCCACCAGGGCCCTTAGAAGTAGGCCTAGGCTTCCTGAAACATGAGAACGTATAAGGGGACATAGCCAACAGCCGAGATGCATCTTCCCGTGGGACTTGTCCAGCTAGCCAGTGCCTCCCTCCCTGCTCCGGTCCCAGAGCCAGCAGCAGGTGCAGACCTGGTGCTGAAACGAGGGTGGGGGTGTCACAGCGAGTCCCCTCACCTCCATCCCCCTTGCAGATTCCATGAATGTTGTAAATCTTCATACAAGAGAGGCCGAGTGGAAGCCAGCCCTCACCCCTTGTCCTCCCCGCTCAGGGCCTCATGGCCTTTCACAGGGAGTCAGCAAGGGACAGGGTCCAACTCCGAGTGCAGCTTCGGTCTGTAGGAGCCCTGGTTCCTCTGCAGTGGCTAAGGTGCTGGGGTGCTAACCAGAAGGTGGGTCGTTTGTATCTGTGGCTTTAAAAAAAAAGCCAAACTCACACCAAACCCACTGCCATCGAGTCAGTCCCAATTCACAGAAGGCGGTGAATCTTTACGGGAAAAGACAGCTTCATCTTAATCCCGGGAGCAGCTGGTGAGTTTGAACCACTCTCCTTAAAATTGGCAGCCCAAGGCTTACCCTACAGCGCCACCAAGGCTCCATCATGAATAACCAAGCTAAACTCACTGCCACGACTGTTTTGACTCGTAGCCACCCTCTAGGTTGGGTCAAACGCCCCTGTGGGTTCCCGAGACTGTCAGAGTTTACAGTAGAAAGCCACATCGCTCTCTCTTGTGTCAGTCGTGATTATTGGAGGGAAGATTGCTTCCGGGAGGAAGTTGAGGAAGCCTATATGCTGCTGAAGACCAGAGTGGGTTCTCCCTACAGGAAGTAGCTGATCCCTCTCCAAATGCACATTGGCCCCGATAGGTGGACGCAGAGGGGCAGGTATAGGATGTCCCTAAGGCCAACTGGTTAGGAGCTCAGCGGCTGACTCAAAGGTGATCAGTTTGAACCCCCTCGGAAGACAGGCCACAAAGCCTGTGGAGCAAGCTGTACGCTGCATTCATGGTGTTAACCAAAGTTGGAATTGATCCCGCGACAAATGGGGGAGGGGGGATTATCCACGTAACTGCAAGGTCAGCAGTTTGAAACCACCAG